ATTAGACTTAGGAGGAGAGGAAGGAGAGAGGGGCAAGTCTTGCCGTGTACCATGGAAAGAAATCATTTGCGGTGGCTTCTGCTTTAGCTTTTTTAAACAATATTTCTTTTCCCTTGTCCTTTTTTTGGTTTAACTCGGGCCCTTTTGCTCTCGGAGATCGGGCGATGCCTTCCAAAGCGAGCGAAGTCGGAAGGAAGGGAGGACGGACCATGCGAAGGGAGGAGGGGGATGGCGGGAAGGGAGGCAACGAAAGGAAGGTCGACGGAGAGAGAGGATAGCTCAAGGATATGAATAGAATAGATATAAAGAGTAGATCAACCAAAAAAAGAGTCAGACACAGGATATATATCTGGCGTGGTCCGACGCGTGGGGAGGGGGAGGGGTCGGATTAAAATACCCGGCGTACCCGAGTCATTCCCTAATTTGTTGCCTACTGCAGGCCGTGGAGCAGGGCCTTGGCGGTGGTCATCAGTGCTCGGGAGGGAAGGAGGGAGGGAAGGAGGGAGGGAAGGAGGGAGGGAAGGAGGGAGGGAGGAAAGAAACATGGCGTCCTACACAACCCGCTTGCCGCCCGAAAGCCACGTCATTGCCTGGATTTCAAAAGGAAAAAAAAAAGAATACAGGTGCCTCTCGCGTGGACAGCATAAGTGGCCAAGAGTCAGGCGGGGACCGAGCCCTATCGTCTCAGAGAGCGACCGCGGAAGGGACACGCCTCCGCGCTGGTTTCCACCTTGCCTCTACCGCTGGGAGTTGCGGATCTTTTCATGTCTCCAAGCCTAGAATTCATTCCTATTCTTTACTTTAAGGCAATTAAAGTGCTGTCAAAAAATTTGCTGATACTGTCGCCCTATGTTCAGACCACGGCTGCTGTTCACGCATTCCGCTCATTCCTTCCCTCTCCCCCTGCCTCCACCCCCCTTCCAGCTCAGTGGTACTGCCTTCCTATCCCCTCCTCCCCCCTTCCAATCTCAAGCCGCCAGGGACCTCCACGTCACTTCCATCACTTCCAGGTCCCTCCCTTCTTCCGAGGTCATCAGCCCCAAGGAGCGCGGAGGGTCAGTCAGGCAGCTCTCCTTCCCTCACTCCGTGCCCCCCCTCCCTCCCTCCCTTTCTCCTTTCCTCCCCCTCGACCCCAGCGTCCTCTACTACCCATCGTGCCAGTCCTTGCCCTCTCCCTCTCCCACTCCCTCTCCCTTCGATTCTATGTGTCATTATTCTCTACTCTACATGGTCCAATACCTCTTTCCCTCCTCTTTCATCCCTCCCTCCCTCCCTCCCTCCCTCCCTCGTGAAAGGGTGCTGAGACAGGGCTG